ATCACAAGCCAAGTAAACTTGTCCTCCTTCAAACTGTGTGTGTCAAGTGTTCGGTCCCAGAAATGAAAAGCTAAGGAACATGTTTTAATGAATTTCAAGTATAGTATGTCACAGATGCAATATTTCTTTAGGACACCTCCAATTTGATACATTCTATTATAATCACATGTGCTCTGAATGGTTATCTTAGGGTTTTTGTTGTTAAGGAAATAAAAAAATTGGTTTCACTTCTGAATAAATAATTCTGGAACAAAGGGCTCACTTCAATAGGAAGCACAATAGCAGAGAGAATAGCAGGATGTGATCTCCTGGGAGAATTTCTGAAATCTTAGGGAGAACTTTGCACTTGCCTAGATTTTCATGTGACCATAATCTAGATCATAAAGCATCAGTTGATCCTAGACAACATTGTTATCATACGGAATTACTGGACAGCATCCCAACAGCAGACAAATATAACACCATTAGTGAGACGTATGCAGTGGACATCATGAAATTATGACTTCAGTTGAAGACGTAGTATAAATATTTATATATTGTCTTATAAATCCCATTCATCAAAGACCCTATGTAATTGAGGAGGAAAAGCCCATCTTTATTGAAAGGGAGTCAATTCTATGGTTGAAAATAATATAGCTTAGTGTTTGGAGCTTCTTCTAGATTATCTACTATCAGTGTCAGGAAATATGCCTTCTCGTGTTCTTACACAGACCCTTGAAGTCCCCCAAATAGGTTTCCTCACTAATTCATTAGAGCTAAGAGATACTTAAGGAGGGTTACTAAAAATCAATGACTGGAAACTCTGAATATTTGTGGGCCACATTTTCTCTGCATTTAATTATGTTCTTCAGTAAATCAGTTAAGCACCACCTGAATGACAATACAGCTCAATTGCTTGGGGGATGTTGTCTCTTTTTTCCCAACAATTCTTAATAACCACAGGCAGAAAGTGTTAGTACTGTGGTAGGTTGTGGAAACTGGGCTGGAAAAGGTCATAGATGAAAATAATTGAGGTGAGTTTGTAAGAACTTGACAAATAGCTAATTTATGAAAGCTGAACAAAATCTTGGCTCAGTTAACATTAGGTAGTGTAGATTTGTAATCACCCAGGTGTGTGACTAATTCAGCAATGTTCTATGGGTGGAAAAAATAAAGTGGATACTGTGGAAAGATACAAATAATTCATATCTGGCAGTGGAGATAGAGAAGACAGTGAACAATTTTTGCTTGAGTTGAGTTCAGCAAATATCTTTTGAATTGAATTGTAAGTAGAAGTTTATGTTATGAGTAAAGAAGGAACATGCTATGTGATTATCATTTTAGTAGTATGTATTAATATGTTATTATATTAAAAGTTGCCTTGAGATAATTTAAGTTTTAAAAATCTTTAATTTAATTTATCCTTAGGAGAAAAAAATCCTTGATAATTTTTTGTAAACAATTTGACTTCTTGCATATTCATAGAGCTTGTCATGTGTTCTGGAAAATGTGTTGCAGCTTTGGCAAAAGAATACATGTAAATCCAACTGTTCATTTTAACTGCACATTTCCTATTGTCTTTTGGAAATAAGAGAAAACTGAGTTTGGCATGATAATCAGTTCAATAGAAATCAGGTAAATATTACTCACCTCTGTCTAACAATAAAATATTCATTTTTAAAAAGAAACAACAAGATTTCAATGTTGCTTGTCAAGAATTTATAATAGAACTTGCCCTTGACTCTTCAATTTTAACTTTGGATGTATTTGGCCACATGAAGACAAAATCTACAATTCTACATCTACAAAATCTAGAAATTTAGAATTTGTAGATTTTAGAATTTATTTTATTTAGAACCTACATTTCTGATTCTACAAAATCTACAAATCTACATATGGATGACTTACTTGAAGAAAGACCTACCCTGGGTGTCAGTGGCATCAACCAATAGTCTTATAGCCCAGTGGAGTAAAAAGGGAAAAAAGCATGACATATCATGCCACGCCATGGACCATTTCTCCTCTGCCATGATTCCCTGTCTTGATTCCCACTCACTATGGACTCTTACCTATTCAATGTGAACTAAAACAAACCTTTCCTCTTTCAACTTGTGGGTATCAGGTATTTTGTCCCAGCAATGAGAAAGTAACTAAAATAGGCCAAACACTTTTAGTAAATCTAAATTTAAATTTAAATCTAAACTTTTTAAGGTGTAATTAGAAACAAAGTAATTTTAGCACTCTTTCTTAAAATGTTTTCTATAGGATTCTTCCAAACAAGAGAAGCAGCAATGGGTAAATTCCCACCCCCAGGAAGTAAGTCTTTCTTCAAGTAAGTCACACATATGCAGAACTATACTAAACCAATCAGCAGACTACTCTAGTATCACATACCCATGATCCAGTCACTCCCACCTATAGAGCACATGAGGCTTTCTGGAAAAGTCTAGATGTAAGGCATAACAAAGACTAAGGAAAAATTTGGAAGAGTAAAGAATTGTAGAATTTTTAAGGATTATAATACAAGTATAAATGGAGAACAACGCCTTGTTATAGCCTCTGCAAAAATTAGATCTGAGCTTGAGGATAACACCTCTTCAGAATCCTCTAAGAAAGCCTTATATTTCTTAGCTTTCCACTCAAAGCATCAAAAAAGGGTGTGGTCAAGGGTGAATGGGTTGGTATGTAAGATAAATAACTCCGACTGTTAAAATGTATGACAGCGAGAAATCAGTAAGTACTAGTAGATTTTGGTATGATTGTCTTGATTCCTGCTTAACTGCAAAGAATTTTAGAAACATTACTTTGCATGATCAAATTTCAACATAGTCAAAAGAGGCAAATAAGATCTTAATATTATTACAAACTCTTAAAGTCCTTTTTTCATTTGAAAATATCAAAAAAGGAATTAAATTACTTGGTAATTTTAATATAGTCAATATTAGTGAATAATTATATAAAATAAGATCAACTTTTACAGTAAATTTACAAAATGTAATCATTGCCGATCTGGTTGTAAGAACACAGAGCAACCAAAAGTTACAACTTGTTGAAGGTGTAAATTTTAGCTACTTTGGAAAATAGTTTGACATGACTATAAACCTAAACTATGAGTTAACTCCACTTCTGAGGATATCCCTTGAGGTCTCTTAAATATAACCTTGTTTGTAGAAGACAAACAAAAGCCAAATAAACATGAAAATGAATATTCAACTGCTAGGAGACTACCAAAAATTAAAAAAAAAAAAAAACAAATAAAAACCAGCACCACAAAATTTTGTGGTACATAAATGCATAATGAAATCTTGTATAGCAGTGAAATGAACCAACTGTGGTCATTAAATCTCAGGAACATAAAGTTGAAGAATATCAACAAAAAAGTAACAGAAACTGTAAGAATCATTTCATTTCCATAAAGTTTAAAATATTGAAAACTAAAATGATCTTTTAAAAGGAATTACATCTTTTATAAGTCTATCTTGAAATGCAAGGCAATAACAGAAGCCAATTTCTGGGTTATCACTCAAGTGAGTGACATTTGTCCACAGGCATAGTGCTATACAGTACTATACGTACTAGTAAGTTCTAGTTCTGAAATTCTGGATAAATATATTAGTGTTTTTGGTAGTTTTTCAACTTGTAGTACACCATAAACATTCTCTATCATTTCATAATCAGTAAAAACAATGTCAAAACTTTAAAATGTCAAAATCAAAGAAAGGAATAAAATTACCTTTATAATTACTGATTCTATACGGTAACACCGGCTCCATAAATAATCTCCCCCATCTCTATCATTTACCTTGAGTAAAAATTAATCTACAAATAATGGAAATGAGCATGAAAATGTTAATTAAGGCTATTCATTTTTTTGGATAGTGGCTATTTGATAAGGTAAAATATTTCTGAACAAAATTTTAGCATTTTTAGAAGTTTACTTCCAAGAAAACTTTTAGTACCTTCTTTCTGGAAAATTTTTGGTCTAAGTCTTTTTCATCTTATATGTCTCAGGAAAATTCTCTCTCTCTCTCTCTCTGCAAAATATTTTCCCTGCCATTTCCCTACCTTATAAATGAGGGATAGTGTTTTCTACTCCACACAGTTAATGAGAAAACATTTATGTAACATTTAGCAGAGCAACTGGACACTTAAGGATTCAATAAATGTTAAATATTATTGTGATAATTTATTATTGTTACTTTGTACAATATGTTCTATTTAACTTTATTTTAAAATTTTTCCATGTATATTACTGACCCAATCTATGACACTAAATCTGTGATTGGGCTGGGGATGTAGCTCAGTGTCAGTGTGTGCCTGGCAAGTGTGAGGCACTGAGTTTGATTCCTGGTACCAAAAAAGTAAAAGGAAAAAAAAGACCAAAACAAAGCCCCTTAAAACTATAATCATTGAAGTTTTCTTACCATTTTCCCACTAGCCCTGTCTTCTTAAAGATAAACAGCATTTTTTGGATTCCTTTTCCTTAAATTTTCAGTGCGTATTGATAAGAATGTTTGTTAATGGGAAAGTGAATGGAAAATGGTCATTCATTCACTCACACATCTCTTGGGGACTTCAGTCTGTAGCATAGCATGCATAGCACAAGAACAGAGAATGGTGGCTACCATCAAATGTTCATCACTGACCAACGGAAAACAAAAATTTAAAAAATTTACATTGAAAAGCAACTATTTTGAGTGTAAAGAGAGGAGTATTAGTTATTGATTTGAAAAATTTCTCTAAGTTACAGAAACCTAATATATTAGGTAAGATACTGCAATTGCTTAAGATAGTTATGATGCATATAACCAAGTTCTTTACACTGAAAATATTTCCTACATAATAATTTCTAAACTTAGCATGACAAACATAACAGTATTAAGGCATTGAAACAGGATATTAATAACATGGCAAATTATGTCAGAGCAGTGCATTTCTCCTGTTGGGAATAAAGTAAAAATTCCTGTAAATAAATTGTGTACAGTGTTCCCAATATCATAAAATGCTATTTCCTTATTCAGAAAATCTAGTGATGCTAGAGCTGGAAGTCAATATCAAAGTGATGATTCCCACAACATAGCTGTTCATATTAGAAAAGCTCATGGTGGCTATGCTTTATATGGAACAAAAGGATCCATAGAAACTTTTGAAGAATTTCTACATATTTTAAAGAAACAGTAAGTATTTTTAATGTTATTACTTTTATCTCAAGAATTCCTTAGAATAGCTTCTTTAAAAAAAGAAGTTGGTTATTTGCTGATAAGTGCTACATTTCTTGGTGTGCAATAGTAGTGGTGTAGTGGTGGCAAACCTATGGCACACGTACCACAGCCACTGCTTATTATAAATTTGAAAGCTCTAAAATGTTTACCATCACTATATTAGTGGTGGATTTCTGAAAATCTAGGAACTTTTTTCCAAGATGAATACAGCTTTAATGAATTCAAACTTCATAGTATGTCTTGAATATATTGCTAAACTTTATGATCATCATTTTAAGTTGTAAGCAAAATATGTGTTATATACTATGCTATTAAATCAAATTGTACTTGACATTTAATTAGTTTTTGACTATGATAGGCTTTTCATAGAATTTAAACTTTGATCTCTATCATAGAGCCTGTAAATACATTTCCTTTTAATTCTTTACTGTGGAATAACTTTACGTTTTATTGAGACACTGCTTTAAGAAGAAGAGGAAGGGGAGAAAAGAAAGAGAAAGAGCGGGTTAAATGTGAGTGTTGACATGCTACCAGAGATGGTATTGGGTTTGTGAACAAAAGTTTAAGGGGACCATGAGGAAATATGGTATTGGAACTGAGACTGGCAATGGAGACAAAATCAAGGGAAATATCAAGAACAGAATTGTCATTAAAAGAAAGGCCAGTAATATGGAATGAGTAATTAAAAAATTATCATTTTTGTTATGAATTAGAATTGTATGCTCTCAGCTCTTTCTTCAAGTCATAATTACATGTGTGAAAAAATATGACCAGAACTTCCAGGAAATATGAGGTCATATTTCTTATGCTTTTGACTTATCATAGCAAATGTGTGTGTGTGTGTGTGTGTGTGTGTGTGTGTAATGCTAGTCACTTTTTCTTGAAGCAAGTCTGAGGGATTTATAGCGAAGGAAATCATAACCCACTACCATACAGGATTACAATCAAATTAGTAAGTTGTAAAATCAAGAAATTCAACTAGTATATTTTCAGGGAATTTGAGAAAACTATATTTTATCTGGTAGAAAATCACAGAAGCACTGAAAGTTATTAGAGATGTCACAGTCATATTCATTTTATTGAACTATAATGTCAATTAATACTAAATTATACTCAAAATTATGCCCGATTATCTATGAATCATGAACTGCTAATTCAGATCATGCTGCTGGTATGGTTGTGGTCACAATTTCTGACTGTAATGTGGGATCATAATGTAGGTTCTAACATGAGGTACAGGAGGAGCTCAGCAATAGCATAGCTCCAAAGCAGCTATGGTTTTCTAATAATGTTTCAAAACACCAGAAGTCAAATCTACGTTATTTTAGAATGGAAAGCACAAATAAGCTTCCTAGTGCCATTTTAGCAAAGGACCGAAGTGAATTCAGGAGCCATGGTAGAAGGTTTTCCAAGTAGAGGGAAGAATAGACAAAGAAACTACTTTGTTGGGTCCTTATACGGAACCTCAGAGATTGTATTTAACAGCCAGTCTCCAACTACCCAGGACAATGGTCAGTGTCAGTTTCGAGTAATCATTTCTCTACCCTGTGTAACAGAATGGGTGATGAGAGTCAGCCATCAGAGAGAACTCCTGTCTCCCACAATCAGTGGCTTAGAGTTGGTCAGGTAGGATTGGTCACGTGGCAGATCTCACTACTGCCAATGGGTGGAGCTGTGGCAGCTGCTGAATTACAACATTAAAGTAAATGAGAAGGGAACTCACTTTCTTATGTTTAATATTCATATAGAGCTTTGAATTGTACACATAAAATTATTGAATTAATCCTCACATCAATACTTTATGGTACGTTGAAATTTATAAGAGCACTGTGTGTGGTAATTCCATAGTCTATGTTCTTCCATAAAACATACTTTTTCTTCTTATGTCTGCTTGGAGACACTAGTATATTAGCTTTTATTGTTGTGTAATAAATGGTGATGAAGTCAGTGGCTTAAAACAAAATTCATTTCTCATTTCTCTGAGCAGGTTTCATTTGGTCTGCTCAGTGTCTCAAGGTTTCATCAAGGTGTGTACTATGCTGTGCTTATTCATGGATCATGGGCAGAATTTAGTTGCTGGTGGCTGTAGGACTGAAGTTTCCACTTTTGCTGACTCCCAAGTGGGACTTCAGTTCTAGAGCCCTCACAGATCCTTGGCATGTGTGTGTCTCTCTCATTCCTTCTCATAACAGTTTAGCTGATATCTTCAAAACCAGCAAGGGAAAGTGTTTATTTTTCTCATTCTGCTAAGATAAAATTATATTACTTAATCATATGCCTATCGATTCCACAACTGTTGCCATAATTGTTAAGTATTGAAAACTTGATGTGCTATATTGCATCAACAACTTCATCACTTCAACTTCTGCTTGATCAGATTCTGAATTTCATGCTTGATGTGAGGAAGGATAAATGATTTTGTAAAATCATTTGTGTGGGCATTAACATTATAGGGTTAATGCCAACAAACATATATGAACAATAAAGAGGGTACTGTGAAATTGGGAAGGTGGTCATATAATAAACAGTAGGGGGGATAGAAGGGAAGACAAAGGAGAAAGGAGAGAGAAGAGGAGAGAGAAACACGAAGTTGGGAACCTCCTTGTTGAATTTTGTATTTTAAGGCAGCAGACTATGAATAAGGTTATATGTGTATATATATTTTACTATAATATACATAATAAGTATATATATTAGTTTATATATGTATATACTATACATATATATTAGTTTGGATTTTGGAATAAAAGCACCTTGACCTTAATTAATTAAAACAACAACTAGAAGGGGTGGAGAGTACACTGAAGAATGTTAGGCATCTCCAAGATTGAAGAACAGTAACAATATGCAGAAGATACTAGGAAACCTAACTTGACTTGGAAATTCCTTCAAGGCATAACATTGAAATCAAACAGCTGTGACTACCTTTGATAGAGAATTATTTGGCTTACATTTTAATTTCAGGGATATAGTCCGATTTTTGTAATGTCCTTTTGTACTCCTTGAATAAATTTTAAGAGAAATATACTTTAATGGATAGTTTTACTGAGTAAATTGGAATTGGCAAAGGAGAGCATTTCAAAGGGAAAGTATTTCAGGAGGAGTAGACAGTAAGCACAATGCTAATTTAAAATCTGTAAACTAAAACATGACTTGCAATTTTAATTTCTAAATAACTGATTAATTTTTTCACCTACTAATTAATGAGTGCGACATGCTTTTAAACTTCTTAAATATTTCTAGTAATGTCTCCTGTTTAGACTGCAGGGACACACAATGTCTTGACCGTTATGAAGCTTGTATTCTAAAGTAAGAGACAGCTAATAAACATGTCTTTTACATAGCTGGGATAAGTTCTAGGAAAGTGGTCCTCAACCATTTTGGCAGCAGGGTTTCAGAATGATTCAAGTGCATCACATTTACTGCATACTTTATTTCCATTATTATTACAATGTAATATATAATCAAATAATTATATAACTAACTACAATGCAGAATAATGGGAACCCTGAACTTGTTTTACTGCAATTAGACAGTTCTATCTTAGAGTGATGGGAGATAGCTTGATGGTATTCTTGAAGTGTGTTGCATATGTCCAGTCTACTCCATAATCTAATTTGGTGTGCCAGCAAATGTTAGCTTAATTGTTACTTGCTGCTCACTAATGGAGTCTTGCTATGAATTTGCAAGCAATTGTTTTATTATGGTTTCTGTTCAAATCTCTCTGCTACTGTTAATCTGTATTTTCAGATGCTCCCCAGAACTAGCATCAATGCCTCAGGTCCACCTCAGATCATCAAGCATTAGATTCTCATAAGGAGAAAACATGCTACATCTCCATAGTAGGGTATGAACCCCATCAGAATCTGTTGCTGCTGCGGATCAGTCAGGGCATGGAGCTCAGAGGTCATGTGAACAGTGGGGAACAGCTATAAATGCAGATAAAGCTAGTTTCTGGCCCACTGATCACCTCTTGCTGTGAGGCATGGTTTCTCACAGACTGCAGAATAGTAGCAGTCTGTGGCCTGGGGGTTGGGAACCCCTATGCTAGAAAAAAAAATATGAATACAGAACAAGGCAGTAGAGCTTAGTAGAAATGATTAGAAAAATCTTTTCTAAAAGGTGACATGATCAGATAGTTCATTTTTTAATGAGCTAGCCAATTAAATATCTCAGACACGCATTCTATGCAGAAAAACACAAGTACGAGAGTAGCAGGGGTGGCAGCATAGTTTGAAAATAGTGGGAAAAAAACCCATATTAACTCAAAAGGAGGCCATTACTGTGAAAGCACATGGGGAAGGCAGAGAGTTGGTAGAGAGGAAGCTTCAGAGTAGACGGGAACCAGATTGTTGCCTAGGGTTGTGTAGGCTCTGGTAAGGTTTTAAAGTTGATGTGACTGCATAATATTATTCACATAGCAAAGATCATGTATGGGTAGTAGAATGTTAGTGCCAGTGTGCGATTTGGTGTGAACTCTTGGAGGCTTTGGAATTAGTCTAGATAATAGGAGAGTGTGGTCCTTATTCTATATTAGAAAGTTCTATTCAACATTCAGAATTGAATTTTGCTTCTCTTTGCAAGGCATAAGCATGATTTTATTTACGGTCCTGAAAGGAGATCTTTATGCAACTGACCACTGTGTTGGAGAATGAAAGTAGTCATTTAATTCTCTCTCATTTTATTTGATTGTGTTATCTATAATAGCATGAGTTTTTAAAGGCAATTATGAAACTTTGGTAAAAATTGTTGGTTTCTTTATAAATGACAAATTTATGAAAAAATGATGCATGTATGTGTTTGTGGGGATTGTGGAAAAGGTAGGAGAATGAAAGAACTTATATGTGAACTGCAAAAATAGTTTATGCTCTTCTGAGAAAACTTGGAATGATTGTTTTTTCTTCTACTCTCTCCAATTAAAGATGTTTCCTTTGAGGGAATGAGGCATCTAAAGA